AGAGAGACAGACAGACAGACAGACAGACAGACACAGAGAGAGAGACAGACAGACAGACAGACAGAAAGACACAGACAGAGAGCCAGAGACCGAGACAGAGACATACACAGAGAGAAAGAGACAGAGGGAAGAGTTCTGTCTTCGACTGAAAAAGCTGGTGCTGCTCATCCTGATTTACAACAAATGATAGCAGCTGACTCATCAAAGATACTTCCTTTCTGCAATATTTCTCAGATTCTAGCCTGAATTTCACCCTCGGGCCTCTGCTCAATTCCAGAGAAAAAACGTAAAACCAAAGACGGGTGTTGAGTTGGACACTACAGCCTTGCAGGGGTGGGGTGGATATCACAACTGGTATGGTTCCACTTTTCAACAAAAGGCTGTAGTGGTTAAGATACTTCGCTCTCGAGGCCAAGGTCGCCGGTTCGAATCCGTGCTTGCGCGGAGGAGGACGTCGGTCTCAGGGCTGGTATCGGTGGCACCATCCTGTAACCTCAGCTGTTGGGGAGCTAGATGTGCAGATTCATTTAGCTGCTGCCTTCAAGGCACAAGGAGAGGAGTTCGATCAGGAGCAGAAAGGGGGCGCAATAACTTTTTGACGAAGCACAGAGATGTATAGCTCAAGAAAAGGATATGTATCAGCGCGCAAGGAAGCAGGAAAGGGAGAGGGAAGAGTCGGCTGAGATACCGAGGGAGGCGCGTAAATAATTGAATCGTCATTTGAAGTATACAAGGCGATGAATAGATCCCTTTTCTTGTATTAAAAAAAAAGGAAACAAATAATCACTTCACCGACTTGGAAACAAAAAATTCTGGAAAAAAATAGACTCAAACATTTTACTGTAAGAATACAAACTACCCCAACCAACCACACGAACATAACAAAAGACCACTTTGTCCATTCCACAATGCACCTGGACATCTGTACATGCCATAAGAGATCAGTGATCACAACCCTCCTGGCCATCTTCACGTCCACATGCAGGCAGTGCATCACACTCTGCCTGACAACGAGTAAAGTGCCATGACCTGCTCTCCCACTTCTTGACATGACGAGCACTTGGCCTTCCAGGCTCCTTGAATGTGTACAGTTTCTTATTTCTTTTTCTTTTTCTTTTTCCCATACCTCATTTATTTGGACAGTTCCAACACTCAGTGGTTAGAGCACTGGTTGGAAATGTGCATTGTGGAATAAGGTTACGGGTTCAAAACCCCGCAGCCTTGTGCATGGACACCGGCAGGGCGTTAGATTGACGCACGGCTGGACACACATCCGCTTGGGCTGACACATGGTACTATTACAGACAGTGCCTGCGCACCACCCAAGGGTAGTCCACGGTGTTGTATGTTGGTTGTGGGTTTCACAGGGTTTGCTTGGGGTGTTGGTTTCGGGTGTTCTGATGTTCTCCCCAGTCTGGCATATCAAACGATCATTCCATTTCCGGTAGTTGCTAATATGGTAGACTCTTGGATTACATGTTACAAGGTCACGGGTTCAAGCTTGGTTCGGTCCTTTGGGGGGGTCCTTGTCCAGCTGGCCCCGTTGTCTCCTCGATACATGATTCACAGAGTACACATAGCTTTCGGGCATACACACATAGCTTGCGAATTATATATCGCGTACAGGTTACATACACAAGTTTCCACACATGATACTGTCTACACAGATTCACAGAATATACACACAAAAAACAGGCTGGGGAGCTAGTCACTGGTGGGGTCCAGTGCCTGCAGTAGGTTCAGGTAGGTTGGATAGGTTGCCATTGGATGCAGTTAGTACTGACATTCGGATAGAACTGTCTGGTGGCTATATACATATGGGGCCTGTAGTTCATTGTCTAGGCCTGGCGTCCGAAGTTCCCATTCGACAAGGTTCGTCCGATTCCGCTTCCACCAGGGCTGGGCAATCTATCAGCCCTGGTGCCTATCACTGCTGTTCGGTCCAAGTTGCCTGCCCGTTGGTAGGGCAATGGTCCTGAGTGCTGGTCACACTGAGGTAGAATAGTGGGATAGGGGGTGCGCTAGGAGTATTGACGTGAGGATGGGTTGGGAGGTGGTCTCATATTCCAGGACACCCGCGGCTCACAGTTCCAGGTGATCACTGTGCACACACTGACTGGCCTCTACAACACCCTGGACTTTTGAAAAAAAAAAAAAAAATTAAAAAAAATGGACAGTTCCAACTTTTTTCCATCACATTAAAGAAATGTTCTTCGGAAAATGGAAGGCCCAGAAAGAAGTGGGGAAGCCCAGAGGAGGCCATGAAATGGAAAAACAAAACGGAAGAAACACCAGAACCCTTCAGATTCAAAATAGCCCTTACCCCTTTTAACGTACTTTTGTAAACACCCCCTCTTATACCCCTTTTGGACAGTTCCAGAGGGGCCTAAACCAGCTCCAGAACCCTGAACACACACCCTTATTGCCCTTTTGAGGGTTGCCTGATTCTCATGCCAGGTCCATGTTCCTGCTCCAAAGACATGGACGAAAGAAAGATCATAAACCCTGTTCATTATAGAATCCCTAAGATCACAAATCCCCCATATTTCAACTCTCTCTCTCTCTCTCTCTCTCTCTCTCTCTCTCTCTCTCTCTCTCTCTCTCTCTCTCTCTCTCTCTCTCTCTCTCTCTCTCTCTCTCTCTCTCTCTCTCTGTGTGTGTGTGTGTGTGTGTGTGTGTGTGTGTGTGTGTGTGTGTGTGTGTGTGTGTGTGTGTGTGTAAGAATTAGAAGTTTGAACCAGAGACTGTTTCACTCACCCGCAACATTGCTGCACTTGTCTCTATCTTCAACAGAATCAAACTCGAACACATACCCACCAGCTGCCTGCAGAGATTTAGCAGCAGCCAGTTGTGTGTGTCAGTTGTCCGCAGCTGAGCGCAGTGAGAGGTGGCAGCACACTCTCCCCCACCATATGCACTCATCTTCACAGGTAATTGGTTCAACTCCACATTCATAATTTAATTAATTTGTCCTGGATCGCCGATGTTTGGCACAAAACAAACAATATGATTGTCAACATCATCGCCATTTCTCCTTATCAGCACACAGTTCCAACATTCTACCATTACCTCCACAAAAACCACTACGATAGCAGAAGACCTACTCTCCACAAACTCTAAAGCAAAAGTAAAAAAAAAAAAGAGAAACTTTGTGAGTAT